GAAGCTAGTTTAAATCTAAGCTGATAGATATTGCCAATCAGTTTTGCATATCTGCATACCAACAGTCAAAGATTCTGACGAAGCAGCATAGGTTGATGCTGAAAGAGCTGCACAAGAACCATGAAGTTGTTATAACTAGAGCTGATAACGGGTCTGGAGTGGTCATAATCAATAAAAATGTCTACTTGCATAAAATCCTGATGATTTTTGGGATTCGTAGAGATTCATAGTTGATAGATCCCAAAAGGATGCTACAGTTTCAATTGAAAACAAAGTGAGCAAGCACTTCAGAGAACTTTTGAAGAAGCGATTGACTGACTAAGCAACCTACAGTGAACTTAAACCAAGGAGTTCACGACTACCTTTCATGTATGGCCTTCCAAAAATCAATGAGTTCAGTGTTCCTTTGAGACCCATTTTATCCATGATAAATTGATCTTGTCACAAACTGGTTCCTTGGTCGTCAACGAAATTGGAACCCATCAGATTAGGGCTCGCAAATCACAGCTTCAGGGATACATTCCATTTCTCTAAAGAACTGGATAGATTAGATATTTCAGATAACTTCATGGTATCATTTGATATTTCCTCATTGTTCACAAACACACCAGTGGATGAAACAATAGCCATAACCTGTCAACAGTATGATCTACTACAATTGCCGAAAACGGAACTCAAACAATTACTGCTTCTCTTTACGAAAGGTGTTCACTTCCAGTTTATTAACCAAGTGAACTGGCAAAATGATGGGGTGTCTATAGGTTCACCACTAGCATCCATCCTAATTGATGCATTCATGTCTGATCGAGAGCGAGAAATTCCTAACGCTTCGATCAAGGAAACGATACACTACTCCAGCTATGTCGATGATGATTTCACCCTTTGTGATAATATGAATCAGGCGTCAAAGTTGTTCAACACCTTCAATCAACCTCACCTAATTATTAATTTTACAATGGAATATGAAATTGAGGACAGATGCAATTCTGTCGATCTAAGTATAAGACGGAGATGTGATAGTACAGTTGAGAAAACTATCCAGAGAAAGACAAGTGGATTGGTCAGTACCTTCACTAAAATAGCTTGTGTCCTGTCACCGACAAGTGTCGTTTAGTCAAGCCATTATTCAGTAGAATAAAACACTGTGCTCTAAAGATAAACAAGAAGAAGAATTCGAGATAATCAAGAAAGCTGTTAAAGAGGATGGATATCCGAAGAAATTCATCATGGAACATGGAAAATAATTTATTGAGAGACCAACAGATTCAACTGTTGAGAAGAAGCCTGTTTTCCTTCACCTGGTATTCAAAGGTGATGAGACATCTGAAGGAGTAGACAGAAGAATAGAGGCTGTATTGAGAAGGAGCTTCCCTGCTGCCAAACTGATCCCAGTTAACAATACACCAGGCTCAATAACGCAGTGGAAAGGAGACAAATACCCATCTCGTGTCAGCTGCAACTGCATATATCAATTCACCTGTGCTTATCCAAGCAAGTACATAGGTTGGACTGAAGGAAGTGTGTCTACTTGACTTTGTGAGCATATTGCTAGAAATCTGTGTCTAAATGTTAGACGGGTCTCTTTAGAAGTGCAATCGCCAGACGGGCAGGCAGGCAGGCAGACAGGCATCTGATGGGAACAGGACACCGAATAGATGTTTCTCTATCATTTACGATAATCAACAAACAAAGAAGACAATATTCATTGTAGTTTGTAGAAGCTCTCACTATCAACACTTTCAACCCGACCTGTGTACTCAGAAGGAGACTGTGATCAACCTTTGTTTACGTTGGTAAATGTATATAGTGGTTGGCATATATATATATATATATATATATATATATATATATGCAGTCTTTCCTTTTCTTTGGATTGCACCACGTTTTCATGAATTGCTTACTGAATATTAATCACTTCACGATTTTCAAGTTATTCATGCCATTTAGTTACCCACTAGGCCTTAACCAGTTCCTTTTTTACACTGATTTTCGTTTGTTGTCTCCTCACTCCACAGCAGCAGAATTTTCCACTTCATTGGAAATAAATAGTCGTAGATATTGACTAGGATATATAACTGTTAATCTTGTGTTTTCTTGACTCCCTCACTACCTTGTTTTTAGTGCTTACTTTCAAGTCTACATTTATTTCTGCGTGTGCATAGTATGTTTTATTACTATTTTTCCGATTACTCGTTTTCACTGTATACTGTTTGCAGGTGATGAATTACCACAAATAAGGTGAGCTCACTTTATTCTGCAAATATCTTTGTTGTTGCATTGATATTTTCCTCCTTGGAATGTCACAGATTCTTTGCTATATTTTAACTATTTAGATAAGTTTCTCATGAATAATTGCGTTTTTTTGATTGTTGAGGATATGTTTTTGTTTTTCTGTATTCTTATTGGTTACTTTTGTGGCAATGAATCTTACAAATTTAATTGGTTAATTTAGGGATGTTTATTAGACATTATATAAAGATGTTTTCGATAGATGTTTATCATATATAGAATTATTTGGTTAACTTGTTTAATGTAGTAATCACTAAAGATGATAATTGTTAAAATTAAATGTAAACAAATCTAATATCAAATGGATGAATGTATCCCATCTTTGGTGACATTTTTGAATGAAACCGATGAACATTTAACTCTTGAGAATATAGATAACACTGAAAATAATGGACTTGTAAAATTTGGCAATGAATTTAGTAAAATTCATGGTCCTCTTAGTTTAGCTGTATGTACATTTGGTATACCAGCTAATCTAGTAAATATTATTGTATTAACACGAAAAGAATTAGCACAAACAGCAACAAATCACTTGTTATTATGGTTAGCTGTTGCTGATCTCCTACTTATGGCTATGTATGCACCAAGTTTACATCATTTTTATATAATTCATCCACATCCAATGAAAAATCCAATATATACACCATCAAAATTATGGATTATATATCAAGAAATTGTTGTCAGTTGTGCTTTAATGCTTCATTCATTAGCTTTATGGTTAGCTGTTTTATTAGCTTTATTCCGTTATATTCATGTAGGATTCCCTGTATCTGGTTCATTACACACAACACGTAGACGAGCATTCATTTCAGCTACATTAACAACTCTATGTTGTATACTTGTCGCTATACCAAATATTCTTGTGAATCATACAAAATCATGTCAAGGTCCTGTATTAAATTATAAATCTATGACTAGTGAAAATATACACAAACGTATACAAATTTACTATTATATTTCATCAGATCCAGATAATGAAGAAAATAATTATTCAGAGTATTATAATTCATCGAATCAGATAGTATTTTTATCTTCTTTCTCCAGAATAACCACTAATGGTTGGAGATCAAAACAACTTCATAACTTTAATGTTTGGTTACAAGCTGTTGTTACAAAGATTGCACCATCATTTCTATTAACAATTTTAACAATCTTATTAATTGGTGAATTACAAAAAGCAATTCGACGTCGGAAAACATTATTTCATAATCGTGAAAAATCTCAAATTGTAACAAAAAATAATAAACGTTACTCATTTACATTTCTTCAGTCTTCATCAACAACATCAAACTTATCTAATGATGAAGGGAAAAAGTTAAGTCGAGAAAATCGTACAACTGGTCTACTTTTAACAATTGTCTTATTTTTTTTAGCTATTGAACTACCTCAAGGTATTCTAGTTACATGTATACATTTGATAGAGAATTTTGAAGAAAATGTTTATCAGCATTTAGGTGATTTACTCGATTTTTTAACACTGTTAAATGAATCAATAAGTTTTGTTATTTATACAACAATGTCACAACAATTTCGTAAAACATTTTGTATGATATTTTGTCCATTATTTTTAGACAAGTCAAATAATACTCATGATCTTGAGATAACACGTTTACGTCAGCAACGTTTAAGTCAAAACATATCAGTACCTAAAAACAGTCAAAGTGTAAAACTCTTACGTATTTAACAAACAACTTCAAATATATCAGATAATCAAAGACTAAATTACAATATGGTCAATGAATCTAATATTTGTACAAATTTAGAAAAATCCAGTTATCAATTACAAAGTAATAATATAATGAACGAAAATTAAGATTATATCATATTGAAACATTGAATACACTGATTTACTTTCATCTGAACTATGGAATATACTTCTGTCAACTAAGCTTTTACTGTGATAGAAATATAAAGTGAATGGAGATTTCAGTGTGTTTTATGTATCAACCATCATTTTTGGATAAAAGAGTCTATGTTCTCTATAAAACTACAAGTATTCAGTTTTGTTCCTTACATTTATATCCACTATAAGTGTATATATATACATATATATATATATATATATATATATATTTGGAGCTGTGGCTCAACGGTTCAGAGAGATGACCTCTAACCAATGAGTCACAAGTTCAAATACCACTCCAGGTACTGGAGTATGGGCAGCTACATTGTATCATTAGCCGTCACACACTACGTGTGGTTCATCGTCTAATGCACGAGTGTGCAGAAGCTTGCTGATTGAATTTTTTCTCCATTTCCCCATTCGGGATTGATGACAGGAGTTGAAAGAAAATCTACGTCGTTCCGTTTATGTTCCAACCTTGTGATATACTGACTAGTTCAGATTTATCTATTTTCACTACCAGTTAACTAAAAAGGAAGTAAAGTTAAATCAATGAAATTTTAACTTGATAATACAATTTAATTTCATTATATATGTTTTCCTTCATGTTATATTGGGTAGCGTGACATAGCATTATTTACTGGGTTGTATTTCAGCCTTGAAAATTATTGATCGTGATCATATCAAAGTAATCGCACAACTTTTGACTTTTAATTTTAACTCATGCTCTATAGGGAAAGTGATGTTTTATTTATCTCCTCAATGAAGCCTGTATCATTTCTATGTCATGAATTAGATGTTAATTTGCTTAGTAAGGATTTAGGAATCAAACTTTTTCCCCCTAACTGTATTAGTCTTTACTACAGATGGTTTTTTCTGCCCTACTTTATGGTGGTATTATTTAAAACAATGCAACTATTAACTTTTTCCCCATTTCAAGTTTAACTGCTTTGACCAATGTACTTGAAATTGTAAACATTGAGCGACATTTAGTTGATCAAATCCTTTTATCTTATCTTATTTTGTCTATGAGCATTTTTCTAGGCTTAAATATTAACTAGATTTCACCATTAGTACTACTGATTAGTCAGGAAAGAGTAACTAACTTCATATTGTCTCGTCCTAAATTCTGATTGAGTTTTATTGATCATTTTACTATGTGGTCGTCATGTAAAAAGATTCACAATCCTGAAGCACTTCAATAGGGGTTAGTTGGATAAATACAATCAGCAGAAGGCTTTGGACTTGTGTTTTGTGTTACTTGGAACGTGTATCTATAAGCTGAATGGTACTGATGTCCTCTCCAAGATTCGTACCCGCATTACTCAGTGCTACAGTCACAGACAGTATCGCTTAGCTATTCGACCTAATGCATAGTTTCTTATCTTTCTGTTGCATGTAAGCTAACACTAGATAATTCTTGAAATATTTTATGATAGTGACGCAGTTATAATCAAAGTCATACAATTTTGTTTCTTGTATTTTCTCTTCAGTTTCTTGAAAAACCTTAAAGGGTAGCTGATTAGAAGAATGTTAGTTTAAAGTTGCATTGTTTAGTTTGCTACTGTTAGGTCTGGCTACATGTTATGAACCCCATGAGATGTCATGGGATTGAGGTAACTACTCCTAGAGTATGCAACTTTTAAAACAAGTAACAAGTGTGAAAGAAGCAGGATTTAACGGATTTATAAATTTCAGTAGTACTCGTCAGCTGGATACTCTACGTACTTAATTATATATACCGTCAAACAATGGAAAACAGCATACATACATACATACATATATAGCGTAGAACGACACATTTAGGTGTGACAACATAGAAGTGAATAGTTTTTTACAGGTCAAATGGTAATGGAGAGGATAGAATGGATATTCAAAATTGAATGTGTTGGGGATAGTTTAATTGAGTTTGGATAATAGTGGATTTTAGGTAAGAAAATAATTATAATATGAATGATAGATCATGGCTAGCAGTGGAATTCAGGATGCTCATTTCATCCTCTTTGGGACCTGTCAGCCGGATGTACCTACTTCCCAGTGAGTGATATTGTTCCCATCGGGTCCATTACTAACTGGGAAGCAGGTACATCCAGCTGATGAGTCCCAAATTGGAGGAAATGTGCATCTTAGATTCCACTGCTAGCCACGATCTATCATTCACATAGTTAGAACACTGGCAATATCGAGGCATCCGCAAGGGAACCCATATGCCAATAGAGACCGATCAGTTCTGTCCAATCAACGAGAGTATGATATAAAAACAGTCATACTAAATAATTATAATGACAACAAAAATGTGGACACAGGGGTGAGATGTGAATCGATTGAGTGCTGATTACGTCACTGAAGACAAGATAGTTAACAGTATTTATGCAGACATAATAAGAAAACAAGGGGTATATTTAGATGAATAATAATGATAACATTAGTAAAAGGAATAAGGTCAATTAATTATAATTATTTTCCTATCTAAAATTCACTACTATCTAAACTCAATTAACCTATCCCCCAACACATTCAATTTTGAATATCCATTTCTATCCTCTCCATTAACATGTGACCAGTAAAAAACTATTCACTTCCATTTTGTTACACCTAAATCTATCTCAGTCTATGTTATATATGTATGTATGTATGTATGCTGTTTTCCATTGCTTGACGGTATATATAATCAAGTATGCAGCTTTTCTCTGAGCGAAAATGTGTACATTGATATCTAATTTTTACTTTACTTTTGCCAAGCATTGCTGATGATTCTCCTTGTTTACTTTCTAACTTTCAAGTAACTGGGTATCCTCCGTCATTACAATCATGGATGTGACGAGATTATAAGTCTATTATTGTTTTAACACAATGAAGTTTGTATCCATACAGCGTCACTATATTTGAAGAGTAGAACTAAACATGTTTAAATGCATATATTCCCACCTATCCATAAATATCTCTTCTACATTTAGGGATAATAATGAGCTTATTACTTCTTTTTCTATTTCTCTTGATGTTGAAAGCTGAGTTCTTGTGTTAAATACAATTGCATACCTAAAGTCATGTCTTCAGCCGATACCATAATTCTATGAACAAGCTCTGGGTCAACAATTTTGGATACCGCCGAAGCTACATTGATTAGTAACCTAGTATAGAGGTTTGGAATATGAAAACCAACCATTTTCTCCATCATAATCTATATTTAGATGATTAATCTTAGTTTCATTTTGCAGAAATTCTCTAATGTAAGAGTTTAGCATAAAATATCATGTCACATTATTTTATCATTATTGTTATTTGCCCCTTGGCTTCCTAGTCGAACATAAGGATTCAGTAGCACGTCACCAATGAACTCTGTTCTCTGAAGTCTTTTCAACCTAACGCCACGACTGCCCACAAACTCTCATTTCTTCCTCAAACACCATCTCCAAAATGTCACACTCTCCTAGGATGCCCAACTCGTCTGTTCCCATTTGGGTTCAACTCGAGTGACTGGCCTGGTATGTGATGTCTCCAGTCGGCCTTCTCAGTGTATACCCATTCCAATCCATCTCCACTTCCTTCTTCTGCATATTTTTGGGGTGATAGATTCTTAGTTGGTTCTTTCCCAGAGTTCCTTATTGCTTATTCCTTCTGATCATCTGAAAACCATTAAGATCGATTTAGAAAATTCTGCAATGAAGGAGAAATAAAAAATATAGGTCACTAGAACTGATAAAATGAAATATTGAAAGTTTTGTTAATACTTTGACATGATTATTATTAATTAAATGGTGATCGAAACTGCATTCATTATTGAGTAGTGTTTTGCACAAAACAAGTGAAATTTGGTCCAATCATCTTTATTCTTCTCGTAAATATAGAATAAAAATTAATCTTTTTGTAGGCAAAACACTGACTACCGATTCTTAAGACTATTTAATGAAGTAGCCTATTGTTATTTATCATATATCTGAGTAGTATCTACCTGTGTTTACCAGTATGTAAGACATTTTCTCTTCCGTTAGTTAGGGAGTTGATATGTGGATGAATAAAAGTCAGTCATGCATGATATTTAGTTGACTCTTCATAAACTTATTGTGTAATATATAGGAATTTGTTCTTTTGATATAGCACACAGTGATACAGTCATATTAAATGGACGATATTTCTCAGCACAATATAACTCATTGTCAAATAAACAAATATAGTACAGGATTTACAGGATATTCACCTCTTTTGACACTAGGTAGTAGTATTATCTATTTGCGGATACTTCGATATCGCCTGAATATTAATTATGTTAATTTATTTGGTTGTGGATAGGAGAAGAATCCAGGAAACGTTTCGTCCTATCTGGGATTCGTCAGCTGGATGTACCTGCATCCCAGTGAGTGAGTTTGTTCCCACTGAGATTCGAACCTAGTACTCATTTCATTCAAAAAGTGAATTTTCAGAAAATTTAAAACATATTCAGGTTACCACTCCTAATTTGTATGCTTTTCTGGTGTTCTATTGTGGATAAAATATGATAGACAGTTGAAAATACGTAAACACCTTCCAATTCTTGATGTTCATTACAAATATGAATGCTGTCAACATTAACAAACTGTTAACATCATATATTGTACCTATATGAGCAAATGATCTGCTCATGTTATAATTATGTTGACAGAAGGAATTTGAAAATCTACTTCTGTGAAGTAGTATCTCATTGCAAGTGGAATTTTATGGATCAAAATCTTCATAATGATAATGCAGAAATCTAATTTCGAAAGTTTATTGTCCATTGGTAATGTAAAATCATTTTTATCTGCCACTGACTTACTTGGTGATATTATTTTATGGATCGATTGAAGAGTTTTCTACTGACTCCTCAACAACATATATATGACTAATATTTAGTAAGTAAATGTATGTTGAGTTCAATTCATCATTGTGCATCATTTTCTGTCGTGTCCTTCAAACTGCTTACAACATTTTTTTTATTTATGATGCTGTGTGGTCAGGTAATTCAGCTGTATACACAGATAAATCAGATTGTCTGAAATATATACGGAAAATAATCACCAGACTTTGTATTCTGTTGCCAGTGGTTGAAAGGGTAGAATTATGCGATTCATCGTCTGAGTGAACTGAGTATATGAAACTGATCAGGTATTATCAAGACCAGTTTTGTGCAAGGTCAGTGGTTGGACTGAACTGACAGAATCTCGGAAATCAAATAATCACTACCAGACAAAGTTATAACATCAAGGAGATCTTTCATTGAGCTGTCAAAACTTTAGATTAGTTTGTCTAGCGTATGTGATGACAATAACCTCGCCTGGTTAACTAGTTTACTAGTTACTAGCCGGTCCTAAGCCCGGGTAAAGAGGGAAGCTTGGGCATAGGGCTAGCAAGCCTACCCCGTAAAACAAATCTAACCGCTAAACAAACTTCAAAGCACAAACAAAATATAAAAAATGAAAACAAACTTATTCCCCGCTGGAATCGGAGAGGCGAAATGACGCCAGTTGGTGAAAGCCTGCCTTCGGGAAGCCAATTGGCCGGGCCGAGGTGTCTTCTCTCGATGAAAGCGAAAGTAAACATGGGGACATGGAATGTCCGCACCATGTTTGAACCCAGTAAGGCAGCCCAGATTGCAAAGGAGATGAGAAGGTATAACATCGAAGTGCTTGGGATTTGCGAAAGCAGATGGAATGGGAGTGGTCTCTCCAAACTGTCAACTGGAGAATCAATAATCTACTCCGATATTATCACCCAGACGACAACCACGAGCACACTGAGTTATGGAGTGGCTATCATGATGTCCTCAAGAGCATCGAAGGCTCTCATGCAGTGGGAACCAATCTCCTACACGATCAGGATCATGACAGCAAGATTCAACTCAAAAGGAAGGAAAGTCACAATCATACAATGTTATGCACCTACAAATAATGCAGAGCAAGGGAAAAAGGAGGAATTCTATAGACAACTTCAATCAACACTGGACAAGACGTCAGTTGGCGATATCAAAATTCTAATGGGCGACATGAATGCCAAACTGGGAGGGGACAACACGGGAAGAGAACTAACCATGGGTCGAGAGGCGCTAGGTGAAATGAATGAGAATGGAGAATTGTTTGCAGAATTCTGTGCATTCAACGATTTCGTGATTGGAAGCAGTGTGTTCAGGCACAAGGATATCCACAAAGCGACATGGATTTCACCAGATGGACACACTAAAAATCAAATCGGCTTTATCTCAATCTCGAGAAAGTGGAGACGCAGTCTACTTAACACATGGTCAAGAAGAGGAGCAGATGTAGGTTCAGACCACTCACTATCTAGTGCAAGGAACCTTCCAAATCAAGTTAAAAGCTTTCAAGGAAGCTGGTGATAGACCTCAATTCAAGTACAACACTCGGAAACTGAAGGATGAAACTACAAAGGAGATCTTCAAGGCAGCCATCAAGACAAAATGGGAGACATCGAGCAACATCCCTGAAGAAACCTGTGTGGAAGAACACTGGAAGTCTTTGAAAGCTATGTGGAAAGAAACCTGCACAACAGTATTAGGAAGGAAGAAGAAAGAAGACAAGGAATGGATCTCGACGGATACCTGGAAGCTGATACAAGGGAGAGGAGGATGGTGAAGCAGAAGATAAACCAGTGCAAGGATGCTCAACGACAAGAGGAACTGAGCACAATGTATAAAACACTGGATAAAGAAGTGAAGAAGAGTGCACGCAAAGACAAAAGACACTTCTACGACACACTGGCAAGTGAAGCAGAACAGGCTGCAAGTAAGAGAGACCTGACAATATTGTATCAAATAACGAGGTTGCTATCTGGCAAGGAAGAGATCAACACAGATGAAACCAATAAAAGATGATGACGGAAATTTAATTACAGAAGAAGAGAAACAGAGGAAACGATGGGCCGACCACTTCAAGAAGCTCTTGAATCGACCACCACCAGCGCCTGCACTTCGTCCAGGGATACCATCTACAGACGCTGAACTACAAGTGAACATAAATCCTCCAACGAAAATGGAAGTCCTGAACGCCATAAAGCTACTGAAATGCGGGAAAGCAGCAGGACCAGATGGAATACCGCCAGAAGCACTGAAAACAGATGCAGAGACAACAGCGGACATGCTCACACACCACTATTGCAGAAGGTGTGGAAGGAAGAGAAGGTACCTGCCATAGATTGGAAGAAGGGTTACCTTGTCAAACTGCCGAAGAAAGGAGACCTGAGTGCTTGCAAGAACTGGCGCGGAATCACTCTCCTATCCACCCCAGCAAGTAAAATATTAAGCCGCATCATCCTGGAGAGGCTTAAAGACGCACTGGATTCAAAACTGCGACCGGAACAGGCAGGCTTCAGGAAGTACAAATCATGTGCTGACCAAATTGCAACGCTTCGTATCATCATAGAACAGAGCGTAGAATGGCAATCAGCTCTATACCTCAACTTCATCGAATTTGAGAAGGCCTTTGACAGCGTCGACCGAGAAGTAATTTGGAAACTGCTTCAATACTACGGAGTACCGCAAACCTTTATCCGCCTCATTCAACAACTATATGAAGATGCCACATGCCAAGTAATCCACAATGGGAAGCTCAGTGATACTTTTGAAGTGAAGACAGGAGTGAAACAAGGTTGCCTACTATCCCCCATGATATTCCTGATTGTGTTGTGGTGGACTGGATCATGCAGCAAACAGTAGGCAGCGAGAAGAGGGGGATACACTGGACGACGGAAAAGAACCTAGAAGACTTGGATTTCGCCGATGACTTATGCCTAATGTCACATAAACTTGAAGATCTGCAGGCAAAAACTAACAAGTTGATAGAAGAGGCAGCTAAGACGGGACTTCAGGTGAACATAGAGAAGACAGAAGTGATGAAGATACCGCACCACCACCATCAACAACAACAACAAACTCCAATCACCGTCAACGGGAGAAACTTGAAGGAAGTAACCTCCTTCACTTATCTAGGAAGCACTGTTTCAACTACAGGCGGGACGGACGAGGACGTCAAAGTCAGAATCGGAAAAGCAAGACAGGCGTTCATTAGCCTGAAACCAGTGTGGAGATCTTCTGCACTCAGCATGCGGAACAAGATACGGATTTTCAACACCAACGTCAAGTCAGTGCTCCTGTATGGTTCAGAGACTTGGCGCGTCACGAAAGGCATTTCCAATAAACTACAGACATTCATCAACAACTGCTTACGCTCGCTGCTGAAGATCAGATGGCCAGAAAAAATAAGCAACAAGGAACTCTGGGAACGAACCAACCAAGAACCTATCACGCAACAAATATGCAGGAAGAAGTGGAGATGGATTGGCCATGCACTGAGAAGGCCGACTGAGGACATCAGGCGTCAGGCCAGTTGCTCGAGTGGAATCCCCATGGGAAGCGACGAGTTGGACGTCCGAGGGTGACATGGAGGAGGTCATGCGAGGAGGAAATGAGAGCTTCTGGGCTGTCGTGGAACCAGGTTCAAAAGATCTCAGAGAACAGAGGTCACTGGAGGCGTGCTACTGAAGCCCTATGTTCCACTAGGAACCCAAGGGACTAATAATAATAATAATAATAATAATGTGATGACAATGAAGGTGTATTAGAAGACTTGAAAAAGTGACAGGAAAATATTTAACAGGTTAGAATCATATTTGCAATCCAAAAACACTTTAAAGCAACTGTGAACTCTTTCATTATGGTGAATATTCTGAACATCTTAAACTGATTTATTCTTTATAGAATGTTGTTAGAAAGATGAGTCTCTGAAAAACACATCACAATCAGGAAACTTTCTTACACGGATGATCTTAATATTTAGAAGATAATGTTTCACTTTGCAGTACAATGAAAATTGAGAAACTTACTTTTATCAAACTAGAGATCCGCTTTTGCTGGCTTGGTATATATCTGTAACTATTCAAATGTTAACTAATTATTCTGGCTACTCTTTGATTACTAGAGAATTGACTAACTTCGTTTCGGAGAGTTTTATTGATCGTTGAAATTTTATAGGTTTCAAATGAGCTTACAACGATTTCTTTGGTGCAGAAAATCGATTTTTTGATGAAATCAAGTGCATTCCTCAGGTACATCTTATCTCATTTGGGTTAAAAATACCTAACTTAAATACAGACATAAATGGTACTATTTACATTCTATTTAACTACATGAGAACTGTATCCAAGAGACAAAATTCACTTCGGAGAGTGACATAATTCTGTTAATCTTCAGCTTAGTAGGGATCACATATGAGTGCTGCCAAGGCTTAATTTTTTGGGTGGTATTTTCAAACTTCTAAACAAACTTCCAAATAGATGATTTTAGGAGAATAAACCACTTTTTAGTTATTTTCTTATCAAAATTTGGTGGAAAAAGACGAAATGGTTCTCTTTTTAGAAATCCGCAAACTTGTTCCTGAGAATGTCTTCATGACATTGGCAAAGATACCAGTCTGCCTCACTAAAAAATACCAAACAGTGAAGAAAGACCACACGAAATTACCTTCACCAACAATGGTAAATTAAGTCAATAAAATACTGTTGTCTGCTAAGTGGTTAGCAGACGAATCCAGGACGCATATTTCGTCTTATTCAGCACTCATCAGCTAAGTCTACCTGCACTCCAGTGAGTGATATTACTGGTAATGAGATCCGAAACACTTTCCTCATTGCTTCAAATTTCAAAGCGTTATTCATGAGACTGTTGTGTTCCAGTGACCTAATGGATAGTGCTTTGGCCTTTTGAGCGGTGGATATGCCGTTCGAATTTCATTAAGCATATAACAAACCCCTGAGTTGCAGGTACTTTCAGCTGGCGAGTACCGAATAGGATAAAACCCGTGTTACTTAATAAGCAATCGCGCTAAGGTTAGGCAATTTACCTCAGTATAGCAAGTATCAACCAACAAAATGGAATATATCTTGATGTCATTGTCATAATTACTTTCAAAATGTCAGATGCTCCCAAATGGTTGCTAATTTACACTTGTTCGCTGTATAAACTCTTAGAATCAAGATAATTCACACGGAAAGACAAAGATAAGAAAAGTTTGCAATACTGTGTGCTTCAGATATTCAATAAACTTAAGGTTTCCTTTGTTCTGTAATGGGTCGTTATAGGGAATGATAACTATATGAATCAGAAATATCACTTCCATTTATTCTGAGATTCAGGGAATGATCAATATTAAATCTGCTGACAGCATTCATACCTACATTGTCAACGACTTGTTATTTAGGAACACATTAATCCCCACGTAATGTGAACTTTTCAGTTATATGCAAAAATATGTTTGGAAAGATGACCAATCAAAAAGAAATTGGTTCGAAAAATGAAATAAACAAATTCGTCGTCATAGAATCACTTTGTGAAATGCACAATAGGTGTAAAAATGGAAGCATATCTTTCAAAAGACTTTAGACTTGTTTAATGTAGAGTTGAAAGATGTGTACACAAAACATTATATCTTGTGAACTAAAGTTAAACTAGAAACTGGTTTACATTGCGAACCATATATAGTAACTGACTGATCACGGGTTAAAATCTTTGTATGAATGTTTCCTTCCTCATTGAACTTCATTTGTCCAGTTTTCGTATTTTCACTGATAATAAATTGACATCAAACGCTTTGGATACAAAACGTCAAGTGTAAAGTAAAGTAACGCTTTGTGACAAGTTATTTTAATCCTAATATGTCCTTATATCTTTCATATATTGACCTTAACCCCAAATTATTAATATTTCGCTTTTCAAATAACTGAAGGTTTCGCGGTAATTAGGAAATGTTTCAGTTCCAACAGTGTTTCCGTATACTATTTTCTCTACTTTTCTGAGTTTCTAGTTTATTGTAGTTGTCCAATTTCATTTTCACCTTTAACACAAACCGGTGGGAGTGGTATAACTTTTTTCATGCATTTTTCTGAATTTGTTTATGACTGTTAAAACATAATGAGGCAATGTAAAAAAAATATTAATTTAGCGTACATGCTCAGGACTTGGCACTTTATAAATAAAAGGGATTTCCAACAAATTACAGACATTCATCAACAACTGCCACCTACGCTGGCTCATTACTGAATCTCAGATGGCCAGAATAATAAGAATAACTAACAAGGAACTCTGGGAAAGAACCAACTAAGAATCTATCACCCCAAAAATATGCAGAAGAAGGAAGTGGAGATGGATTGGACTGGGCATGCACTGAGAAGGCCGACTGGAGACATCACATACCAGGCCAGTCACTCGAGTTGAACCCAAATGGGAACAAACGAGTCGGGCATCCTAGGAGAGTGTGACATTTTGGAGATTGTGTGTGAGGAAGAAATGAGAGTTTGTGGGCAGTCGTGGGGCCAGGTTGAAACGACTTCAAAGAAGAGAGTTCATTGGTGGCGTGCTACTGAATCCTTATGTTCGACTAGGAAGCCAAGGGACAAATACTAATAATAATAATAGCATACATGTTTAAGAATAACTCTGGAACATGTTAGTATCTTGTTTTTAAGTTACTGGCGTCTAAAAACGTGAACTATTTGATTCCAAAAAGGCAGCTAAACGGAAACATGTTCAAAACAAAAACTGAGGGATCCTTAGCTTGTACATTTATCGAATCAACTGGCTGTGTTATCGAAAGATTCATACGTACCGAGAAATCATTATGTACTATCATGTTAGTCCTCAATTAGTTTTCACTAATTTAATTTATGATCTGGATGATAATAAAGTTAACTGTTCCCATGTAAAGCATGTTGTCCTCATGAACTGCAATATTTTCATATTCTATAAACAGATTGTTTCGCTTTGAAGTTTCTCTTGAGAATCATGATAAGGTATTTTAACTTTTTTCAAGACATACATTCCATTACTTGTAAGATCAAGTTGAATTTACCCTTTTGATCAAATGAGTTTATCTTCCTAGGAGTCTTGTTACAACTCAAGATGAATGTGGTTCAAATTCTTATATTTGTACGTCTTCTGATAATGCATATTATTCTTAGTACTAATTAGGGCTTACAAGAGTAGACTTACGTTTAGTAACATATTTAATTAATGACACTTCCAGTATAAATTGCTTTCTATTATTGTGTCATGATTAACACAAATTGCTCGCTTATTTTCTATCTAGTATGATATATGATGGCTATTATTTTGACATCACTGCTAATGAATTAGATC